GCAATCTTGTGCTCGGAGCCCCCACAATACAGGCAGAGGTTTAGAGTACGACGGCGGTCTCGTTCTGCTTTGGTAAGCGGACCACGAGGCTTAGAGATAGTAGCGTCAATCTCCATGGGTTCGCCAGGAGGAAGTGTGGATGAGGAAGTGGAAGGGGAATAGGGAAGAGAGGAGTGACGGTATGAGTTGTCGGTACTGGTATGGGACTTCGACTTTCCGGTTTTTGAACCCTTCTTCTTTTCCAAATCACGCTGATGAAGCCGGTTGTCAATTTTGATAGCGAAATCCATGTACTCCTTGAGAGTCTTGGGAAGAGTCTCTTCGGAAGTGAGCGTGATGGCGTCCTTTACGCTATCCTTGAGATGCCGATAGAAATATAAGATTTTCGTTTCTTCGGTAAGGGAAAGATGGATGATGTATTCCATATAACGAGCAGCGTACTGAGCAGCAGATCCAGTTTGATACAACTCGTCGATCTTGTTCTGTGCAGTAACGGCTAAATTCGAGTCGCCGAAATGCTTCTTAAAAGCAGTGCAGAAGTCGTCGAAGTTGTTAAGGAGGTCGGGAGTGAGCTGGAGAACTGAGTTATACCACTCTTTCGGTGTTCCAGGACCCAAATAGGTAGACATGTAGATACATTTGTCCTTGTCATAGACGTAGACGTCTCGAAGGAGATATACCGTGTCTTTGACTTCTTGAAGGAAGCCGACAACCTGGGTAGCCTTTCCGGTGAATGTAGTAGGCTCCTTAAACTTTGGCGTGGCTTTCGAGCGAGTAGATCCAGACCGTCCTAACTGTTTGGCAATATTGGCCATAGCGTCCTTGGTGCTTTGCTGAGTACCCATGATCTCTTGGAGGAATCTGGCAAGATCACTCCAGGGAGCTGGTTCTGGATTGGCGGTAGGAAATGATGTGGGATGAGCAGTTGATGGACCTGGTTGCGTGCCGAGCGGAGGAAAATCAGCAGTCGCAGGTGGTACCTGAGGATTCGGCGGCACTCCAAAAGCAGCCGCGGGGTCGGTTCCACCATAGTCGGTGCCATCGAAGCTACCTGGTGGTTGCATTGGCGACGTAGAGTCTGCCGCGAAATGTGGTTGAGACATAGGGGAAGTATAGGATTAGGGAAAGTGGGGAAATATGAAATTAACGGAGGCAATGTCGAGGATGATAATTGGAAGGAAACGTGTACAAGCGGAGTTTAACGGGGTTACGGAGTTAAGGTACGAGATGACGTGGCGTTTGTTTGAGCGAATCAAACTGTGAGGACTAGGCCGGACCGCGGGACGGAATACGACTTAGCCTCCGAGTCGAGGTGAAAATAAGTAAGAAGGTATTAGAGTTGATTCGCTAAAGAATATCTAGCTACATGAAGGCTTAAGTACTATTAAATGAAACATAACTACGAGTAAAACTAGTGATATAACTAAGAGACCAAACTTGTAACTAAACTATGAAATAAAACATGAATAAAACAAGTAATCGATTAGTAGTTACCGATCTCGGACCGAATCGTGACATGTTTGCAGCGACAAATCGTTGAATGTACCACAAACCGACGCCGTCATCCTGATTCCCTTCTCTCTGCGTTCCCGAATCTCAAAGGCGTTCCCAAAACCAATCTATCGCGTCTTCCGAGTCATAGAGTGCGCACGTTTCGAAAGCCCACACCTAAGGTTCCCACCCCATCAAACAAATTAGTTGGCGCGTCAGGCCCATCTGATCCAACAACTTTGTGCTTTTGCCCGTGTTTTCTTCATCCGCGGGTAAAATCCGCGGGCATGGCAGACCCAGAAAGCTCTAAGGTCCACCTTGCCCGCGACTTCTTTTGGCGCTTCTCAAGACTCAGATTCATCATCATTCATCGTCACCCGATATTTAGTATCCACACGAAGTTCACTCCTGTACTTAATGCATATTTTTTCCGATTCTCTAATGCGGACAAAGGAATCTCAGTCTGCATTTGGTCTGCATGCACCGTGAAATTTTGAAAGCCGTGAAAGCGAATCCGACCGAACGGTGATCGGTGGGAAATCCAACATGCGTTACCAAGGTAACTACAGTTGAAATTTTCACTCACGTTCTCTTCGCCCTTACCATGACCAGTTGCTAGTGGTACGTCCTGCAGTTTCTGTCTTCTCTCCATCCACTCTCCCATCTATATGTTCGATAACGCAGTCTGCACTGTACCCGAAGCCCGGGAATAGTGGAGCAATCGTCTCTTGTCTTTATGTTTTGTAATTTCATCTCATCAGACCTGTTTCATGGACCCAAGGCTGATATTTCCGGTTTACGCAGGATTGCGAAAGGTCCAGGACCGTTGGCGTCATTGGTAGTCGGTCAAAGCAGCGCCACTAACATGCAACAGCGGAACCTCGAGAAAATCAGTCATTGGTTCTGCTATACAGAACGTCATCAACTTTTGATGTGCGGCAGCAGCAGATCAGCTTGGTCGGACAGGTCATGGCCGCTCTAGGTCTGCTCATCAGATATTGGTAGTAGCTTGAATGAAATAACTGTGAGTATCGTCCATTTAGAGGGGGGGGCATTCGAAGCGTTCCGGGAGTACTGTAAGCCTAAGTCTTTACGTGTATCTCTGCACTGTGTCGAGGTACTAACTTGCAGCTTGAAGAGGAACCGGAACCACCTTTCTTTTCCCTGGGTTTCGTTGAATGTGGTATCGAAGTTCGAATGGACTCGGAGATCGTTTATCCATCATTTATGCTGCAAGAGAGCTCGTAATGAGGAGAATGTGTAACTAGAGACTACATAGTTATACTATTATCAATAATGTTTCCTGCGCAAGGCGCCGTCTTGAAGGGACCTATATTAGTATAGCTGTGGTAGCATATTTCATCCTTAAATATATCATGTCTATCCCGGGAAATATGTCGCAATTGAATGAAGAACCATGCTGGCGAATGTATCCATGTATCTGCTCACTGTAAGTGGCGAGTTTCTCACCATGATCACCGAATCAACTACAAATGTATGTAGTTGTGAGTAGATTGAATGTTGTTCAAGTTGGTCTGGTCACTTATGACCTCCCGGAAATACCTAATGTAGCCTATAATCAAAGGAAACAACTAATACATGCATTTAATGACTGTCTCATAGTTCCACACATGAAAATAGCACCTATGGTTAAGAAATACTGTCAAAATCTTTGATTGGTGGTGAGTTTCTCACCATTTACAGTGTAAATCATGGTTGCCGCACGTTCAGGTGAACGGATGGCTTTCAAATTCAGAAAACTAATTTATGATGCAATTATCTGTCTCGACAGCCCTCTATACCACGCCCTGCCTACATTTTGCGCGTACTCAAGCGTAAATTAATTGTGAGCGTCAAGCGGGCGCTTCCTTCATTATTGTCGGCGAAATGTCCATTTATGGAATAATTGTTAGCCGACACTGTCTCCTACGTTTCTCTCAATGCACATTACCACTATTCAAACGACACCGAGCCCAACAAACTGGATACGCGACAACCTTCAGCTTCCAATGCATGGAAAACCTGACAGTGCTTTGAGTTGAAAGAAGCTCATCTCGGAAGGAAGCCGAGACAATGAAGAAAGTCATTTCTGTTGAAGAGTTGGTAGTACGTAGACATGGCACTCTGTATTCTCACTCTCTTTATCAGATATCGCTCACCTCACCATAGATTAACAATAGTGAAAGATCGATGACATTCGATAATTTGATGGTTTCAGGGGTGCATGGTGAATTTTGACGATGCCGAGCTTACAGGTCTTTTTGGTGTTGATTCAGTCCTTAGTTTCTCACTCGATAGCCGCCCTCACATCCACATCCGGTGCTGTATCGGTCAAGGTTGCGATCAACGGGAGCAAAACGTCGGGCTCCGCGAAGCAGAGTAAGAAATGATGGACATTGTCGTCGACGTTAGCCGAACGTCGGGCGACCCGGAATCAAAAAGAACTTAGGCAGTTACATAGCTCCTGGGTTTGTCTTCAGTCTGGCTGTTCTTGCCCTGCTGTTTATCTAGTTGAGAATTAAAGAAGAAAAAATATGCATTCGCTCTGGACACCTTGAGACCGTCTAAGAACATTAATGGTGGGAAGTACTTGATAATGATATAAGATGTGTTGTGAAGAAAAATAAGCCGTAGGCAAGGTACTTAGACTTAGAGGCCATCTGGGTTTGCCCTGCCCGCGGATGTTACCCGCGGATGAAAGAAATGCGGGCAAAAGCACAAAGTTGTTGGATCAGCTGGCCCTGACGCGCCAACTAATTTGTTTGATGGGGTGGGAACCTTAGGTGAAGCCCAGCTGTGGAGGGGAACTCTAGATTCTGAACCTTGGCAGTGGAAAGAACACCTGCAGGGTAGAGCTTGAACGGTGTATGCGTGAAGTAATGTCCGTAGTCGGCTTCTTGACTGATCATCTGGGTAAAAAGTTTGAATTTTAGTGTGTATCGTCAGAAGTTGGGAACGTACCTCGGAACGACGCAGTTATCCTGTGCCCAAAGCCCAAAGCCACCGTGCCAAAAACGATCTCCACAGAGTGCGTGATGAAAGCGTCTTCGGAGTCTAGGCAAAGCGCGCAAGTTTGGTCGAATGGGTGCGTGTTTTGTTGGAGAAGGAACGCGCCCAGGTGGTTGTTGTTGGAACTTCGTGTCTTGATGAGGTCATTTGGTAGATCGAGTTGGAGCAGATCTTCGGGAAGAGGTCGGCGGAGGGTAGAGAGAAGTGCTAGAGGAGTGCCTGTCGATAGAATCAGTTTTTAAAAAAGAGCTAAGGCGGGCAAAAGTCAGCGCAACCCGTTCAAACCATTCCAAATCTCCTAGTCGACTTTGAGTTTGCGTTGAGAGATAGGCGGCGACGACTGTGTGGTTGGAAGGACATACTCTTCGACCGGCTGGGGTAGGCGAGAATGGTTTGGTTCAAAAGGATTGGGGTTGAGAGAAACGGCGTGCGGCGGACCCAAAACGACACATGATGCTACACGATGGTTCGAGGTCTCGTGGGCTTTGAAAGCTTTTGTCGCATTAATGGGGTAGTGGTAACCTGGGTCGTTGCCATCAGGGGATCGAGCAATATTTAAGCGCTTAAGCCTCGACCCGCCGGGGGTTCGATTCCCTCTTAATGCACTAACATAGTCTGCCTTTGATCTGTTTTGGCGTTTACTCCGAGTCGAATCATGTCTATGGCCCCTGCTCCACACTTCTTTATAAAATACAGTGCTGGGAACGCGTTTCCTGATCAAGTTGATCCGGTCACGCGCGTTGGACTACAGCAATTCGTGTCAATCAAAACAATTCCTTTTCTTCGATTAAGCGACAACTTCCACTAAAGAAATTAATCAGACTTGCACACAAGCGTATTCGGGTTAGGATCAGCTTGTTGAGAGCACGACCATGTTCGCCGTCAGTCACAGTCAATCACAGTTAAGGAACACATACGAGCGTAGTGAGCCCACAAAACATCGATCGATAGATCCTGCGCCATTGGGGGTACCGCGGATCGAACGCGGGACCTTCAGAACATTAGAAAGAAACGGGCAACTTCAGTCTGCTGCTCTCCCAGCTGAGCTATACCCCCGTTGCTCAACATGACTCCGAGACTCCGTGTGCTCATCTTGTCTGTCCGGCTTGCTTCGATGGAACTAGAAGCGCCGTGTTAGACGCCAGATGACAACGCGTGGAAAGATGTCACATGTCGTTTTTCTGGCTTCCTTTCTTTTTTCATGTCGCGACCAATCTTGCGTGGGTGTCCCATGTCTAATGCTATCTTGCTGCATCAGGTAAGCAGACAAGTATGGAATGGGCGAGTGACTAGTAAAAGAACTCGGAAAGTTGCAACTTGCAAGCTTAAGAGTCACTGGCAGTGCCGTCCTAGGTGTGTCGTCACCCTCTATAGCTATGGTTGGACAAAAAAAGTTTTGAATCCTCGTGTTTCACTGCAGTATACGCCAAGCCCTCACAGCGAACCAGAAGAAGGTGCTGCTGAATGCAGATACACGTGTTCAGAACTTATTATGAATCTCCAACTACGGCATGCCAGAGGTTGAACGGCTCACCGAGTACAGTAAGCCTACAGCCTGAGGTATGTTCTGATGCTCACCGTCACTCGAGGAAGGATTCGAGCTTGACGAGTGCCTTCTCGGATAAGCACAACGCATTGCTGCAACAGATCATTGGGGATACCGCGGATCGACAGCTTCCGGATCATTTTCTTCCCGAAGCACTCGGGATGACCATTCGTTCCGAAATTGCATCAAAGGAATAAAGTGTGTATTTTCTCTCACTCTTCACACCTTTTCACTAAAGCACTAAAGGAGTACTGCAACTCGGGCGTATCATGTCTGCCGGTCAACTTGATATCTCGCCGTACAAGTTAGGTCACATATCACTATCATTCCAATTTCCTACTACACACCATAATTGATATCATACATTCGCATACAGTATCGCTACTTGGAAATCGGAATTACACATCCTCGCTGCCAGCTACGATTACTTGTTGTAATAGCAAATGTAGTGGTCTCCACAGGGGTTACCATGAGCAACGCCATAGTTGAATCTCCAGCGGTCTCTGTGGGTTTAGTAACTCGTATCAGCCACCCGCTCGAAATTCAATCAAGTTTAAAGTCAAACATACCCTTCATCAACCATATCATCAGGATTTCCCCAGCTTTTATCGCCATGGCGTGAGCCCGCCTTGCCGATGTAACAGATGTCTATAACAACAGAGTTCAGAACGTATGGACAACTTGAAGGAGCAGGTAACCATGACTCACAGTGTCCAGGACAAGCGTTCGGGTGACCATTCGTGGACCCAAAGTTGAGCTTCCAGCGGTCACCTTGATCAACGACGAGGTCGGGATTCCCGTAGGATATCTCGCGTTTGGTAAGGTCGCTTTCGGTGGGGACACCGACAACGCCAATGGCGACAGTGGCTAGAGCTAGGAAGAGAGTTGAGAATTGCATGGTTGGTTCGAGGTCGATTTGAGAACTGAAGTAAGAGCGGATGCTGAGGTTTTTGGGCCAGGACTAAGGTGCTTTTATAGATGTTGGGAGATTGTAAGCGCTGGTGGTCAGTACTGGCCATGCATTCGAAATTTGGCTAGTTCTTAGTAGGGCTGGTAGAGCTGTTCTGTGGTAACGAGAGTCTCAACAGCTTTACAAGCCACATGCATAGTGACCATGGAGTTCTAGCCGCAGATGACCCTTCGGAGTCTCGAAATGCTCGCAAGTGACTCTCGTACTTTCAGCGTCCCGGCAGAAGATCAAGAAAACTTGATTTTGAATTCTGGAGGAGTAGAGTTAGGGGGTTTGACGTCAATTCCATACTTAGTACACTTGGCGAGACGTACTTTCAAGTGACCTGAAGCTTTGGTTGTGCAGATTTATCACAACCACGTTCTTGATGTTCTTCCGCAATACGGAAGCTCCGATTGATTGTCCACAACCTGCACGTTCAGGGGCAGAGATTCAAATCAGAATGTGACCTAGCGAGAGCCTCGGAGCTTGATTAAACTTGCATGCTTAGTGTATAGCGCTTAGCACCTGTAAAGTTTAATGTAGCCTTTGGCTTCTAAGGTTATAACCGCTGCATCAACATCTTTTTGGTTGGAAGCCAGAGGAATGGAAGGTCTTGAGCGCTCTGAGAACCGCGCAAAGCGGAGACCGTGACAGAACTCCTAACAAGGTCATATCGATTGTTTGAGCACGCTGAGGAGCGCCACGCCTCACATGCAATAAAGCAAGTATCAGCTGAACTATATTCACCACTAAATGAATGAGCGATCGACACGGCTCCCGATAACTAGCTTTTCTTCAAGACTACATCTCATCTCAGTTGATCTTAGTCATTAGATCCACCCGGTGAACGCATTTCCTAGTATGAATAGGAGGTTCGACCAGCCTGAGGTTAGAAGCATAAGCATCCACCATATATCATTTTCAAATACCCGACTCGGAGAAGCCGTAATCTGGTGAGGAGATTACGGTGGTGGCCCCCTTCAGCTCTTCATGTTTTGCTATGCCGAAATAATACTAGCGGGTGAGCCGCATATCACTACTTTATTCTCTTGTTTTCCTAGTCGGTTTGGAAATGCAGGCGCCACGAAGTGTTAACCGCCGCCTCGGACACGCAGCTATGATTGACGAATTTAAATTAAGGTAGTGCTCCGAGTCAGTTCAAGGCGTCGATGACAACGTCTGGCAATGAATCGCTTGGCTGTATGCGGTCCAGAGAGCTATAGAGTCGAAAGAAAGAAGTATTAGACTCATATCAAGTGCTTGACTGGTATCGTCGTTGATGTTTAGGCTGGTAAGAAAGCTATGAACGCTTTTCCGGAACCCATCCGTCGCCCCTGACGAGAGAACAAGCTTAATTGCCCTTAAGGTTCTTTTCTTAACATCTCCCAGCCCTTCCCGTCATCACTATACATCGCTCTGAGCGAGACAAAATCAGTGACGGTAACGGCACAGTGGTCAGAGTAATTAATGGGGGTAACATGAACATTACCAAAAAATCCATATAAGCTTTATGAGCCCTCAGTCATTTATTGTCCCGCTTCCACTGCGCTATCAATTGCCTGTGGTGAGTGTGTCAACAAAACTTGTTCACGGTAGAGTCTCCGCCGCACGAATGAACATCAACTCGCTTGCGGTATCGTTCAAGGCGATAACGAAAGGCACACGAAGAATAATAATGGATGTTGTTATGCCTCATGTGTCCGTAGAAAGCCCAGTGCCCACCGAGATAAAACGCCACGAGCTGAATAGTAGCACCGCAACAAACTCACGGAAGGTCCTTTCGCACTGCAGTGTTGATGAGTCGACTCTCCGATAAATTACTGGGAACAGCTTGGTCAGAATAAATTTGGAATGAATAATCGATGATGGCCCGGGGCTCACGCAAGGCTCACATCGCGGCGATCACAGCCCTGTACATGTTGCGAGATTTAGTATTATTAGTAACGAATAAATGAGATAATTGCCTGCCGATTCAGAAGATTCAGATTGCTGGTCAAGGGGAACAGATTGATGCTAGATGAAGTCCTCATTCAGAGTGACTGACTTATAAGTACATATATAAGTGTTGATAGGGGTACAATCCCCGATGCTTTTAAGAACAGAAGTGCACATCCGGCGGAACTATAAAGTTTCACAGAAGAAGGGATACTGGGGTACTGTGTTCAGTTCGGATGGAGCTTTGAGATGTTAGCGCCCAAACTACCACAACTTTCGGATAAACCCTCCGTTACCCGTGAACGCGTGAACCTTGGTCCATACACCAATGGACTAGTAATCCGCGTGATCGTGGAATGCTCGACGAAAATTTACTCTACAATCAAATCACGTATTCCACGCAATACATCCCTGTATCGTTCCTCACCATCTCAAGACTGACCCTGAGTATGAAGCATCGAGAGTCAAGTGAACCAATAAACCCCACATGGGCAGAAGAGACCTTGAAGCGCCGAGTTAGACGCCTGGGTCGGACAACTTGAAGAACACGTGTAAGGTTGTTGGCATCATGCCGTTTTACAGTAATTTTACTGGCTTGCTCTCTTCTCTCACACCAGCGAAATGTCCCCGTAGATGCAATTAGATTGCAACGGGGAAAATCGATTGCAGGGTCCGGAAATCTTGCGTTGGATTGCAACGCAAGTTACCTTGTGACAAAGTGGTTGTAATTAGATTAAAATTAGTGTATAATACCATTGCGAACAGATTGCAAAGACTCACCTTTGTCGCAACAGAATTGCAATACGGGCGCTTATTGCAGGGCGCTTGCAACCGGCGCGGATTATTGCAACCCGATTGCAGCCGATTGCAGCCCGATTTCAACGCCGTTACCACAAGGTAACTTGCGTTGCAAGTAGCTGTGAGTATTGTGAACGTTTCAACCAATTGTGGCCGTTGCAATTAGGCCAAAATTAGTGTCCGAACCCCCAGATAAACATGCAGCCCACACCCCCCACACTGCCCATCGCACGTATTCATGATTTGTAACAACCATATATTCACAGTACGCTACATCATACATAACACTTGTGTTGTAGAACACCGCAAAATCTACTACTGGGGTATTTCGATTGATTCGGATGGTCACAGGTCACAAGGGTCAAAATTTCCGA